GGGTTAATTTGTAAAGATAAACATCACTTCATCAAAATGGCAATTCTAGATCGCATATGTACATGTAAGGTGCCGTATTGTTGTACACAGCGCAAGTGTGTTTATACATGTACATTTCAGGACTTTGATTTTTTCATTTCATCAGAATGCAAATCTCAGAGCCTTTACAAGTGAAAAGTTCTAGTGAGATTCGTCAAAACCCAACACTGAGTCAGCAGATAACTTTTATGTAGGTCGCTTGGTGTAATGAGCATAGTCAACAAAACTGTGTATTTCGTTTCTCAAATTTTTGAAATCACATAAGCTAAATTGTCACCAGAATATTAAAAAAAACTAAAATTGTCTAAAATCTGGAATTTGGGAAGATTTGTTACTTCATCGAATAGATTTTCCAGAGATGGGCTCGACATTGCCCACCTCTGTCAGACAATTTGGACATGACCAATTGCTCATGGACAGAGTAAATTTGTATGGTTATGCATCGCAAATCTCATGCAATCTGACCAATCACAAGGCCCGTTTTAGGAGCCTGCAAAGGATTGTGGGTGGTCCCATGACACAAGTTGATTTTCTTAAATGTTGGAGCGTATTAAACAAGGACACCGAAAAGTTCCATTTGCCAAAATTTGATTGGCTGTGCAAATGAAATGCCATTATAGACATCATCTGCACGTTCTAAAAGAGATTTGTACTGATGCAATCAGATATTCATTGCTGCCAACTTGAGACGACGTTGAAGTTGGATTAATATGACTGTATTTTAGCAATGAACTCCGAAACATTGTCAGTAGGGGCAAGGGGAAAGGTCACAATGTGGTAATACTCCTGACTGATTGACCTTGCCTTTGTTAAATACCTGGCAAAACATGATCCTGCTAGTTTCATGGTGACCTCTGATTTCCTTCTCCTTATGTACAAACAGCTGAGCCAGCGTGCTGAGGAGTGCACACGGGCATTGGATCTGCTCTTGAAGATGAACAGCGGGGAGCCAGTTGTCAATGCACTCAATGATAAATTTGACGGAAGCATGTTTAAGGTAGGGGAACCAGTGAAGGCTTATTAGTTTCAAGTTGTGGACAGACTGTACCCTTCTTGCCTCCTACCAATGTATCTCTAACCACTCCTCAGTTTGGCATTTAAATATAAAAGATCTATTTTTGGGGGGGATCATCTCACAGCTGGTGAGTGTTGGATTCTGCCCTTCCCCCTAAATAAAAATTAGTTGTCCCATGTTTATCTTTTTCAAACTTGGCATGCATGTAAAGAAACTCATCATGCAGACGTGAAGTTTCCACTCCAAGTTTAAGGCTACAGGAGTGTTGGCCCACATGCATTGAGCTCATCACAGAAAAGGAGGCAATTTTGGCTGGCCCGTCTCAGAAAATTTGGCTTTGCGCAAGGTTCGTTTGTGCAGATTTTCATAAATTTGGTGTCAAAATGACCCCAAGATGTTACTAAAGCAACTTCTGACAACGGATGCTAATGACGCCCCTCACTGTGAGCTCTGGCATTTACATGTATCGCTGTCCAATCTCCTGATCTGGGAATGTTGAAGACCAGCCAAGCACATATTTATTCCCTTATTTATTGTCAGAATCCTAAGTCCCCAGATACGTACACATGCAACTTCGCTGGTGGTATGCACGAATCAGGAGCAGATCCGCAATTTTCCAAAGTGGGGTGTGAACAAAGCCGATATCAATTTTAGGGTCACAGCCATAAAATTAGGAAGGTTCGTTAACCGCAAGCAGAACTGTTGGTTTTATGCCTTTGTCACATTTATGGGGCTGGGTCTCTCCCTGTTTTTCTCTTTTTATTTACAGAACGGGTCCATCAGTTGAATAAGGTGTGAAGAGAAAAGCACTACTTTATCAAACTACCCCTCCCCCAAAAGTCTTAATAGCATTTCCCAACTTCATATCTGTTTCACCCATTCTCATTGCAGGGCAAATTGGACAGCGACAAAGTAGCAATATGCGGCCACTCATTTGGAGCCGCCACGGCCTTGTTGACGTTATCTCAAGACAAACGATTCAAGTAAGTTATCTTGGATTGTGAGAGGCCCAACAATAGTAGGCACTTATTTCCCATCAAGGGAGAAAAATAGTTTTGTCCAAATCTGGGCTGCTTGAGGTGGCACACTTCCAGCTGGTGCTTTATCACCTGTTCAAGACCAGCTGCATGTCGGGCTCTGGACCAATAGGAATGGTTGAACTGTCCATAATTGCATTCTGAAAGCATATGTCAAGTTTTTATGAGTAACATGCTCAACATTTCAAATTACTCTTCTTTCGAGTTTTTCTTTTGTAACTTTCTGTGAGGTTTAATCTCACATGGACTAGGAGAGTAAATCACCGATGAGGAAAGTACATCAGCTGGACTCCAAGCTATCTAAGGCACAGAATTCTACCAAAACTCAATGAGTCAGACCACCACACACTCAAATGGAAAGACAAATATTTAAATATTGAGTCCCTCAAAGTGACTTGGCAAATAACTTCATCTATTGCCACAGATGTAGTGTGGCCTTGGATGCATGGCTGTTTCCCGTCGACAAGTCCACGTATGCCGATATCCACCAACCAGTGCTCTTGATCAACACAGAGAAGTTCCACTGGCCTGCCAACGTGGCCCGCATGATCCGATTGGTGCCTGAGTTCGACGAGCCAACCAATGATAGAAGAATGATAACGATACGGTAAATTCTCTCAGTGTTGGCAGAACATGACTGGTTTTACCTTTATTCTGGTAAGAGAAGTTAGGAGTCCTCAAATCAAATAAAAAATAATAAATTAGAGACTAGTACCTCGAGACTAGTACCTAGAGACTATAGTAGGTGTACCTACAGACTAGTACCTTGAGACTATAGTGCATGTACCTAGAGACTGAGACTAGTACCTAGAGACTATAGTACATGTACCTAGACACTAGTACCTCGTCAGCCTGAACGAATCTCTAGAAGAGCCAATATGTACAATATAGTTTGATACAGGGAAGACAACCCCAGAAGAATATTCTGGGTAGAACTCACGGAATCAGACATATCAATCAATCCGTATGTGGACTAAGCCAGGAATTGAATCCAGGCCGCAGAGATGAACCTGGGCCACCGAGAAAGGCGAGGAAAGAATCTCTATGGCAACCCCCTGTCCCTCCTCCCCAACATGGATTTTGGAAATGCACACATCCTGTGTACAAGGCTTTGGAGTTCATTGGTTTTCAGTCCCCCCCTGAAAAAAAAAATGTGTGCACCCCCCGGTGCCCCCCAAAAAACTTATGTCGGCAGGAAGGCAGGGGTTCTAGCCCCACCCACGAGCTCTCGGACAATATCGACTTTACAGTGTGATGAATATATGGTGGATTCGGGTAAACCCCTTAATACGGGCAATCCACAATACAGTGCGCCACCTAGAGTTTGTCATGGAGAAGTCATTTTTCACGATTACTATTGACAAAAAAATGGCCGCCTCGCCACGATTACCATTTGAGCGAATGTTGGTAGGCAGTTTGAGGAAATGTGTGATCAGAGCATTCTGTGCCTCATCAAAACACCATTAATCAACACCGATACTCTACACGTTACGGAATCCGCAAGCCAGTCAAAACACAGTGGAACAATTTCAAGTTCCCCACGTATATCGCAGTCGGCACCAAGATTTTTTGTCAAATGTTTTCCCACAATGCATTGCAAATAGGGCCTCTCCCTGGCAATCTGTAGGTGGTGTGCATCACTTTGAATCACCTGTGTTGGAGGTAAATATTACCCAAGTGCCGCCATACTATTGAAGTGCCTTGTTATTTGCAGTGGAACGATACATCAGAGTCAGACGGATTTTGCGGTTCTCTTCCGGCAATCGGCGGCCAGACTGCTGCATTTTGCCGGCAGTCTGGATCCTACACTCGCCATGGAGCTTAACCTGCATGCAACACTGGCTTTCCTGTCCTCACAACTAGGTAAGCTCAATATTTCCTCTGAAAGAGCACCTCTTAGTGAAACATATTTTCTCTGATTTTATCTGTTCAAATAAATATGGAAGCATCCCAATCGAACGCAGTGTCATTTGTCTTCAGAGCTCAACTATAACAAGGTAAAAAGGGCTTTTTTTCTGTTCATGCCAAGATGTGAATTCTGAATGTAGATTGCGTCATTGAGGAGAGAACAAGGGGAACCCTCTCCCTGCGTTGGTAGTGGATAAACCCTTGTGCATGCCAAACAATGGCAACAAGCAATCTACATTCCGAATTCGCATCTTGGCATGAACAGAAAAAAAGTCCTATTCAGCTTGTTATAGTTGCGCTCTGAAGACAGTTGACACTGAGTTTGATTTGGATGCTTCTGTAATTTAATAAAATCAGAGAAAACATGTTTTCCTTAGAGGTGCTCTTTAACACATGCCCACTGGGTCAAACAGCAGTAATATATCAGTAGTTGTTTAGGCTCCTCCATACCTCTGTGTCGGATCCGTTCATTGTAAAATATAATCGGATGCAAACATGGATGTCCCTCAGTATTTCTGCCAAATCATTAGTAACACCTGTCAATCATATCTGATTATACAATATTCTCAACTCTCAACATATGAACAGCATACAGATTACGATCTGTAACTTCTAGATTCGATTCCTTGGTTCAGAATCAAAAAAGATTAGCAAGAAGGTATCCTCCCACTTTGTTTTCAACTTTCCACCTTCATGAAAATGACAAGGTGAAGGAGAAGAAAACATGAAATCTTGTTAAAATAGGAAACACATTATCATAGCCACTGTTCCCTTCAAAATGCCACATCAGACCTGTACAGAAAAGGTTGAGATGTTTTTACCAATTATTTTCTCTTTATTCCATTATTCTTTCCAAGTAGTGCAAGTATTCCTGCCAGCAGGTGATCATTTTTCTTGTCATTTTTCCGATTCTGCGACCTCGTATGGTGTAAAAAAGGGGCAAGCAAAACAGATGAAGAAAAACACAGTTATAATCATGTCCAATTAGGCCTAGCTGCGATTACTGGCAAGGTGTTCTCTGGTCCGTTTCCTGTTTGTAGGCCTGCCATGCAACGCTGATTATGACAAAATCCTCACAGGAGAAAACAAGCACGTCCTAATAGGCACCAACGTCAAACTCGACCCGGAGAAAGTATTGGCAATGAAGGCAAGTTTGTAAGGTCTCATCAATCCAGGTTCATTCGAATGAGGACGGGCATCGTTAGCAGTGGAATATCCACAGGGGGAGGGGCACGTTGCTTCCCCCCCCCAAGGCATGTTGCCCATTTTTTTTAATTACAAGGGCCAGCGTTTCAGAAATGGTACTACCACCTCTGTGGGGAGGGCAGGTTCTTCCACCCATAAAAGTAACTAGACAGTCATTTTCGAAAAAAAAATTCCATTCCCCAACCCCAGAGCCAGGACCTTGAATTGCCACTAATTGATTACTGCACATGCCCAAGGCGTGCGTCATTACTCCTAGCGGTGTCAGATCTGACAGGTGACTTGATGATCTGAGTTTAATACGGGTCCAATTAACTAATGAGCCTGGAGTGTTTAGAAGCTTTCCTCATTAAACTTTGATACCTGCAGTTCACTCTGTAGGGTTTCAAAAGGTTTTTAAAAATTAATGGACATATTGTCTCCTTTCTACATTGGCATTACCTCAGGGAGGTAAGAATATTAAAGAAAGGTGTATCGTGAATTTCTGAAATTTAAAATCAATCCATTTCCTGACCCTATAATCAACTGTGCAAATTTCGTTTTGTAATGAATGGTTTAGACAAAAAATCTGGATTTTGCTCTGTCACGACTGATATGTTCCTTTTATACCACCGTAAAATGTTTGCCGAATTATTGTCTGGCCACAGTATGCCAGGAATGTTGTAAGCGCACAGACTTGATGTAATGCCGCAAGAAAGAAAAAAAATTGGGATGGTGATGACGATTTTAATTAAAGTAAAAAACATTTAAAAAAATCAACCCACTCAGTGAGGAAGGGATTGGAGCTTACCTATGAAGATAGAAGGCCAACCTGGCTCCCTAATTCGACAGTAATGTGCTATAATTCTATTACCGTTGTCTTTTATACATATGGAATTATTATTTTATTTGATGGAATTCATTCCAATTATATTTTAAATGAATTAAATATCAAAAATATTTTATGAAGGTAATAAATAAGACTCAGATTTCCTCATATGCTATGTTGATGTGCAGTATGGAGCATATTCTGTCTACAGTCGGACAATATTTGTGTCGGATCCCGCGTGGAAATTATGATGGCTCCATATTGTCTTGTTCCAAATGGAAGCACCAAATGCGGGCAGCAGGATCGTCGTTTAAAGTACAAATGGGAAAACATATTCACTCTTCACCAAATCATACAGTTAATCCATCTTTAGGCAGACTAAAGACAAAAGGAAGTTTCTTGGCTCAGAGCTCCGCTTGTGTTTCCCCACCCAGTTGGTTTGTTTCTATTAGCAATGTCGATAATTGTTGCGTTCCCGCACGCAGAGTTTGACATTTTGTTTCCAGCAAAATGCTCATCAGTTAAATATATAAGCTCCTATATAACCTATTAGATGGAGTGACAGTTCATCAATCGGAAATTTTTTCCCTTTTTTAAAATTTGGCCTCAGACAAAGTGGTTTCAGACTTTCTCAAGCTTATTCTGATAAAAAAAACCACCAGTTTAAGCGTTGTTTGAAGCTTTGCTTGGCGGAGAAGTGCGTTTGTGGGTGCACTGTGGAGGCAGCCGCTTTGAAGAAGATGTGTTGTTGGGAGAAGAGTTAGAAGTGGAAAAAAGGGTCTCGACGTTTCGATCACTGTGCTTTCTATCGTCATCAGTTTCTTAAAGAGTGAGGAACTGAACTTCCTGTAGTTTCATGAAGAGGAACAGTTCTTCAGAACAGATTACTGTTCGAAACGTCGAGACTTGCCATCGGCTCGTCTCATCAGGGCCAACTCTTCTGTAGACACTGCGCCTTGTGTACCTTGTCCATTCCATCCTGTGCTGACACAGGGACCAAAGATACTCGTCGCCGATGATACAAACACCATTGCTGAGGAGAGTAGTGCCGTGCAGGAATGAGCAGAGAACCAGCGCCTCAAGCAATTTGCAAGTACTTTAACATGGCCATTTGTCATGTAACCGGCCCGTGCTAACCATGTTGTTTCCATCTGAAAAAAAAATCGATGCTGATGAGGACCCTCCATGATATCAGGTCCGGATGAACTCCTTGCGTCACGTACATGCCAGTTTTCATATAACCCCTTTCTTCCTGACCCAACACCTTCACCCCCCTGGATCGTGTTGTCTAATGACGCTTGTAATTGAGGAACCGATGACAAAATTACGAGGTAAATTTTCAAGCAATAGGAATCATAGCAGCTCATTAAAATCGAAACCAGAAAAGGTTTGGTTTTCATAACTCTGACGTCAGTTCCTTAATTACAGTTGATTATTGATTTCCGTGCATGGCTATGTACGGTGTTCTGGAACTGACACCCTGGAGTTCCTGAAATACAGCTTATTAGACCCCCCCCCAAGTTTGAATTCTCTCCATTGCAATTATTGACAGATATTGTTTTGTCTTTGTTATATGTTAAACCTGAATGCAATTTTTTCTCGAAACTGAAGACTTCATTAAATCTGATGGTGTGTTGCGGGGATAATCCCTATTGACCACTGTTTGTGGTTCTGTCCGTTCGGATTTACCACAACAGTCAAAATGCTGTTTACACTATTCAACACCATGTAACGCGTGATCATGGCGAGAGCCTACAGAATGAGGACACTGAACTGAATAGAGTTCTGTTTTGTAATATGTTAGGGAAACTAGGGCATCCTTGGTTAATGCTACAGAGGTAAATCCGATTAGCACAGTTTTATAAATTGTTTTATGTTATGTTAATTGCACAAGATCAACTGAAGCTGTCTTTGTACAAAAAAATCAATTGCACAAAATAGGTGCCACTTGAACAATGCATCAGTTTCATCAAGTTGAGAACGAGAAAGAAATTCCAAAGAAACACACAACCAAATACATGTAGTTGCCAATTCTTTGTAACATATCCCAGGACGTTTGTAATCTAAAACAAGTTCGAGGTTGAGATCCTGTTTTGTTATTCCGTCATGAATGTTATTATACTGGATGTCAACATTTTGGTTCCAGTAATGTCGTCGTCTTGTGATAAAATCCTCTGTCGTGCCATATTTATCAGGGGTTCAAGTTGTGCGGCACTCCTGGAGTTCCGTAGCGCCCAAGCGTACCACACAGGGCTATCCTTATTTCATGAAGGGTGTGTTCTCCAAATGTGGAATTCATCGGGGCGTTGGCTTCTTGCTTAAAATCACTGTGCCTAATATAGGCGGAACTTAACGTTCAGCGCGGCTATTAAGCTACAAATTGGAGTGAAAAAAAGTCTGGAGTCAGGTTTTATCTTTCTTACAGTAACTTTTTGAAATTAAACATATTACTCCTGACCGGGTCGAAACCGAAATTTGGAAAACAAAGGCGGATCTAGAAACAAATTCCCAAGGTGAGAGATTTGTGGATTTTTTCATGTAACCTTTTATGGCCTTTTCGAGGGCTAAGGCTATGTTTTAGGGCGTTTTACGTGCACGCGTTTTTTAGAAGCAGAAATGTGATAGAGGCGAAAAATCACCTTTCTCTTATTTTTCGTTTTAAATTTCTTTGTGGGAGGCAGGGCCAACGTTGCTCGTGGATCTGCCCTTGTTGGAAATACATGATGTGGTACGTAAAACGAAAAGAATGGGAGACTTTAAGACGCTTGGCATGGTGGCAACAAACAAACTGGCGCGTTGTTCTGAGCATGGGTACAAGTTCTGAGCACGCGCTATACCTTGAAAAGGGACCGGTACGTCTGCTGTCACTAGCCGTTTAAAGAACGTTTACCTATTATACGTAACTTAGAGCGAATGAGCAGCAATTATAGCACATTGCGTCATTGATGATTGTCCAATCACGATGCACGTCTCCTGGAAATTACCTCATGGTTCCGCTGAAACTCACCACTGGGACCTCGTTTTGTGAACTTCAAATGCCATATCATGTGCCAGTCACCTGTCACTGCTATCTTAACTGTCCCACGTGTGGGGTACTAATGGTCACTTTATCTCTGACAAGCTAGGAGGAAAACAGGTTTCGCCCATCGAGAGACCTAACCCGTAGGCCCATAACCCGCCAGCCATGGGCCGGAGTCGCGACGGGTCTACACGCCGCCTGGCCAAGCGTGTTCTTCTGATTACTGCCGTGGCATATTTTGTTCAATGTAAGTTTCCACGCCTCAGTTTTGAGCTAGCGTTATACACATAACCCTACCCTTTCGTCAGGGTCAATTGTCAAAGGACTATGGGGTGAATTTCCTCCTCGATTTCGTACCACAAGTAATTTGTCTACCAGTTTTCCGAAAACCCGAACTCACATTTTTGCTTGCGTTGTTTTAGGCTTTCGGTCTGCTTTGGGCCTTACCAACTTTCCTTTAGATTTAGGGGGAAATTTGACAAATTTTAACCTTGTCGTTTCGTGGTTTGATTGTATGTAGCTTTTGTCCTCAATATTCGTTATTTACTTGGCCTTATCACTAGTCAGAGCTTTCTAGCAGGCTGTGTCGTAGGCCTATAGACCTACTCAGCAGTCGGGAAAATTAAAAAATAATAATAAATGAAATGTAGGCTTTACAAAGCTAACTAGATCAGTCGTCATCTTGTTCTTGAACCACCAGCGACCAATTGGACCGGAAATTTTGATTGATCGATTTATAGTCTTGGATACGGTTGCAGTCAAAACGTTAAATGTATTTGCACCAGAGACTTGTCCTCATAATACTTGTTATTACTAATACTGTGTATCATGTTCCGAGACCCAGCGCGTCATTTATGTTTCATCGGGCAAAATAATAACTTTTTGTCTGACAAACATGCCGAGATCCTTGTCAGGTTTCGAAATGGCTGGATTGGGCTGTTCTGGCTTCGTCAGATCAGCGTGAAAACAAGGCAAGTTCCTAGGAAATATGCAGTGTTATTGCGTTTATTCAAAAGTTCAATCAGACTTCAGGCCAAAAGGCGTACGTCAGTGGAAACGGTGCATTCTAAAGTTTTCTGAACCATGCCAAAACTAAAGTGAAAATTGGAGATTTTAAACTGTTGACACAGTACATGTAATCACTATCTAAAAACGGCCCGAGAAAGCCATTTCAAAACTTAGGACTGATGGTGGATGACAAAATGGGTTATAATTACTCACAGAAATCATTCACACAGAAAAGAATTTGTTCAAGGAAGTAACCGAAACCAAAATAGCGTTATGGAACTGTTGGTGTAGATTATGTAAACTAATCTAACTGCATCTTCTGTCGACAATTTCCCCACTAAATAATCAAGTGTCACGTTTACGTTATCGTTCCTCTTGATCTTTCTCTACGGAGCTCTGGAAGTGCTATCCAACTTTTACGACGTTGTCGACCTGTAAGAAATAATCTCAGGATGTCGGTATCTTGCCTTTATTATATCGCCATCCCGAGGAAAACTATGTCAGGATCTCAACATGTCAGATGACACTTCCAGAGCTCTGAATTGATTATATGTCTGCAGTATTTTCCAAATCTGGTAAATGTGACCAGCCTAGCATTTTCTAAATCTGGTTCATGTTATCAGCTGGGCCATCAAGGTATCGTCGGATCTCCCGCGGCAAGGTTTTATCGTTTTTTTTTTGTTTTTTTTTTCGAGATCCTTTGTTAGGGTAACACTTTGAGTCGACCTACAGGCACAAAATTCCGGGCAGTCTTGCACAAGTGTTTATTTCGGTGTGGTTATCTATCACAGTGCACCGTTCCTTCTCTTCCCAGTTGTCCGTGTTGTGTTGATTAAACGCAAAGCATTCTGAGCTGCTTTAGCGTGATTGTTTAGAGGTAATGGCATTTATTATATTTTTTTATCCACAAACCAATCCCACTAGCTATAGTCAAACAATAGAGATAAAATAAAATAAAGAAAGACTCAAGAACGTTTTACTGTATAGTCGTGATCAAAATCAAATTGAAAATGTATTATTAATTATGCCTCATTCCCACAGTTATTAACCTCATAAGTCAAAATATTCAAATGATATCACACATCTATGTTTCCAAAACACAAGAGAGCAGACTCACTGACCAAAACTAAAGTAGAACCTGATTGATTTTCCTTTGAAATAGACATCACGTAATTAAAAATTGCAACACGATTGGCTTTTACAGTGATCGCCTTTCAACACAGTGGACCAAGCAATCCAGAAATGTTTACACCGTACACGGAGTAATCAGCT